AGAGGAAATGCAGTAAATTTGAGCAAAACAAGTGGATAACAAAATGCGCTACGTAGAAGAAAATTGCAAACTTCATTATACATATCTCTAAGATGTATTTAGATATAGCAAACTAAGTATGTATATATGTAAGTAGTATGTATAACTAATAGCAAATATGGTGAAAAAGGAAATTATAAAATATCTGTTATGCAAGCAAGGGTTGCATTTGCTCTAGCTGATATTTTCCCAATTTCAAGCTCAGTTGCTGCCCACTTAAACGTCGCAAGTTATATATTTTTTTTTCTTGCTTTGACAATTTAGTGCAATCTTGGCGAAATGAGCTCCTGTGGACAATTAAAGTTTTCTGAAGTTTTTGATTAAATTTTTAACTTATTATACTTATTTTCTGCAAGTCAAAGAAAGGCATAAATGAAAAAAGACAAAGTAGAAAAAAGTAGTACGAAATATTAAACATGAAATTCAAATCACACTCTTGTTTATATATTTTCGAGTGCCATTTGATAACAGAAAGAATTTAAACGCATGAAATGCAAACATTAAAAAAACGAATTGAATTACTTATTTGCATTTCTGTTGCGGGCGCAAACCGGCGCCCACTCATACACAATAGTTTAATTTAATTTTTATGCAAATGAAAAGCCAAATATGTTACGTACGATATGAACAATTGACTGACAGGGAACAAAAGTCAATAAACAAGCAGCTCCTGAAGTCTAATGTAATGTGCGGATATAAAAAACTGGTCAGTGTACAAGTACAATTTTATTTTTATTTTTTAAATCAAGTAAAAACTGATAGTTAAAAAGGCATTTCGGTGTGTTTTGCTTTGGGCCGAATTGTGCGTGTCAGAATATGTAACGGGGTTTTTGACTTATGAATATGCCGACAAACCAGTCAAAATTGTTGCTCAATGATAAGATAAAAATATTTTACTCTGACATTTAGTTGGAATGCAAGTTCAGCATTTTACAGCTATCAACTTTTCAGTACGATAGCAGAAAAAATTGGAAAAAGTTATTTAAACAATACGTAAATATGTATAATAAAATGTTATCGGTGCGTAGATACAGTGATTGAACCAAGTGATCACGACCACCTGTTCGATTTTTTTAAAACGATCAGAAAGTTATTTTCCAGGCCGCAAAGACGTCGAATGAATTTTAGTTGCGTCAAAAAATAGAAATAATTGTATAAATCGCTTGGAGAAGAATCGATTTTGCATGCAACAATTAATATGCAAGAGCATTAGGGTGGAGTCAAATTACGCTCTTTTTTTTTTAAAAAATCGCTCCAGCATACCCGCAGAAAATTGCCTTTCTAGCCCAGAAAAAAAGGGTGCCAAATATTATTTTCCTCCACGTATATTTAGAAGTGCCTATTCACGAAACTTTACTGTACAGATTTCTAAGTGATTTCTTCAAGCGGCGTTTTTACACTAGCTTGTGGTTGCTGTACACAAATTTGGTGTCCTTTTTTTTCCTTAAAGAACAGAATTTTCGCATATATCTCGAAAACTTTTTATCAGTTTCTTTTAATATATTATATATGTATATATATTTCTATATAAAACAATAAAACCCAGTAAATGAAATAAAATTAAATTAGAAAAAGAAATTTTATAAAAAAGAAGGTTAATAGCACTTAAAAATTAAATAAAAGCAAATAAAAAAATATTTTTCTTTTTAAAACAATAAAATCTAAAACCATAAGAGAAGTAAATGGAAGAAAGAAAAGAATAATTCATTAAAAAATAGCAAACAAATACGTTTCTAAAAATTTAATGAAATTAGAAAAAAATCTTTCGTTTTCATGACAACGAAATCTAATAATTAAAAGAAAATTAAATTAAAAAAAGAAAAAATTGTAAATAAAGTTTTTGCTCAGTGAATGAGCATGTTTTTATGAAAAGCATCAGCTAATTTTCTTATGTACATATATGTTGTTACTTTTTAATTACCAATTGCTCGATCGCCTAGGCGCGCCTTTGCAAGTACACACTGTAAACAAAGTGTATTTTCTTTTAAGCTGAAGACTTACCTGAAAGAAAACAGAAAAGAAAAAATTATTGAAATAAATCGAAGCTTAAAATATTGAAATTACAAGTATTGAAATTACAATATACCAGGTAAGCTTTGTAGGAAGGTTAAGGCCACGCTGAAATCGAGCCAACATGGCACTGCGCTGCCAAAGCGATTGCAACGAAATCAGTGTGAATATTATTGTATTGAATTAAGAACACGACATTGCAAAAAAAAAAAAAATAAACACAAAAAAATTAAAAAATTGCAACATCATTTACAAAACACACAGCGTAGACAAAGAGAATAAATAAAATTTAAAAAACGAAAAAGAATTAAAGTAAAAAAAAGCTAAACTGTCGTTCACCTTGCTGGTAAATCAGTGGTGGAATTTTTTTTTCATTCATCGTGAGTAAAATAAAATCCAAGCGAAAATTCTAGTCACAATGAATGACATGAATTTCTGTTGTTACTGTCGCTTTTTGCTGTGCCAGCGAGGAGGTTCGTTGAGGGGTTCTTTTCGGTAGCATCAAGAAGAAAAATTGCGTTGCACACGACAACAACAGCAAACAAGGTCAACAGCCAGCGGCGGGCCACAACGACTTAGCCATTGCGATGTGCAAAAAGCAGCAGCTTCGAAATTAGCAACGCTAGTAATACAAATAACTAGTATGTAATTCATTTCTGGCCTGCTCACTTACTCACTCAGTCACCCAATCGCTACTCACTCAATTTTAGTCAAGCTCAGCTTAGTCAATGAGTGATTTCGCATTCAAGTACATACACAGTTGGGTTTTAAGCTATCTGCGGCGAAGTATGTATGTAGTTAGTAGCATGATTACATCACGAATTGCATTGCAATCTACAATTTTGTTGCTTTATTTTGGGAGCAAACAGAAAAGCCGGCAGCTGTCTTAAAATACTAGTTAGCCAGCTGTAGGCAGCGCAGTGGCGGCATTAATGTAAAGCGCGCACCCAAAACGCGCCGTTTAAGGTGGTAGCAGACAAGCAGAGCGCCAACAAGCACAGCAAAACAAATAACAGACAAAAACAAAAATAAAAATGCAAGAAGAAAAACAAGCCCATGCAACAGTCGCTGGTTATTAGCTAGGCAAGTTTCAGTCAAATTGCCTTAGTTTGACAAAAAAAAAAAACTCACTCACTTGATGTGGCCGCTAGCCGTTTACTATTAACAAAAACCCAAAATAACAATATGTAAATACATACATATGTATATGTATTTGATTTTGAACTAAAAATTATATAAGTTATTGATTTAGATTTCCGCTTACTTCGTCGTGCAAAGCTGCCACTGCACTATGGGAAAAATGTTCATATATTTGGCATAAAGTCAATTTTTTTTTGGTGTTGTATTTTAAAATTTAACCTACTTCCCCAAACCTGAATACGAGATAGGGTTCGGGGCCCCCTCCAACATTTTTCCTCTTGGTGAACGAGGTGCTGGCTCCAAACTTTACGTGTCTAAGTATACAGTTAGGGATGCGACTCTTAAAAGTAGTCGCTTTTTATAAATATCATCAATATTTTTGTCAGTTGCAAAGGGATTCAGTAACGCATATCAAGGTCATTGAGAACCCTGTATTGGTTGCAGTGAAAGTTGGTATATGAAGATATTACAAAAAACCTTTTTTTACGATGACATTTTTGGCCGCCATAAAAAACTTGGACCACTCTAATGTACCTAGAGATGGGCGCGGGCCTAATTTTTCCGGCCCGGCCCGGCCCTTCACGAATGAGGAACACATCAGCACGAACACGCAAGGTACCCGATTAGGGACGGATTATGTGGAACTCCGTCAAAAATATTTACTTTAATTTTTTCTACCCCGCATTTTTTCCGTTGACCTTATCTTTTTATATTCATTCTAAGTCGAAGTATGAAAACGGAATTTTAAGTCGCCACACCCATTTCTTTGGGCGCTATGAAATCATAAATTTTATATGGGATTTGAAATTTTGTTTTTCTAAACAACAAATTTTTTCCATAAAGATAAAGATAATGATCTATTAAATGCGTTGTCATTCACAGTTCTAGCATTTTTACCATAATTATTAAGAAAGCTATATTTTGGGGAATGGCTTCCTGAGCCAAAAACGGAATTTTTCTCAAACAGGACTCAAATAGGTGGCGAGCACGCAAACATGAGAAGTTGCCCAGAGGCAACATTTTTTTTACACAAGAATTTTCTATTAAAAACGGCCTCAAAGCTCAATAAAAACTTGTTTAATATGATTTGTTAGTCCCAAAAAAGTATCAAAAAACAAAAAAAAAAAAGAAAAGCTTCATGATAAATTTATTGTTCAGAAAATTATACTTATTAGATGTTTTAATTTTCTTAGAGGTTTTCCATAGTTTTTCTTCATTTCCAGTCATTACACTTCATAGTTTAATTTTTTTCCAATATATATGTAACTTACCGGGCGCCTTCGTTATTTTTCATGCTTTGTTGGAAATTCACTACAAACCCATGCACGCAAAAGCTCGTAAATAGGTCCAATTTTCCTGCCCATGCCCATCCCTAGTGTATACATACACACGATTATGTACATGCAGATGTGAATATTCGAGGTTTTTTTTCAATTTATTTAACCCTTAATTAGGCGCATGGGGTCAAGGCCACTTCAAGTTGAAAAAAAAAATATCTTGGAGTGCTTGGAGCGTACTCGCGCTCTTTTTGTAAATTTTGAATTTTTTTTTAAGTTTTGAAGTCGAAAATATGTTTTTGTTTTTTGTAAGCTAACGTTAATAGACTACTTTAATATTTTTGACAATACACACTCCGATTTTTTATTTTAAAAACTCTTTTTTCAACACTTTTATTGGGGTCACTGGGGACCCCGTGCGACTAATTGTGTGATTTTCTTTATGCGCCGAATTAAGGGTTAAAGAACGATACACAAACGAATACAATTTAAAAATTGCTTTCACTCTTAACAATTTAAAAAAAAAAAATATTTCATTTTCTTTTTACAGACTGCAGTGAAACGACACGTACGAAACGTGCCAAACGACCGCGGGCACCTGAACCAGTCAATTTCGAACCGGAACCCCAACAAGATTTAGAGAATGAAGAGAGTGGTAGTCAAGAAAAAGATATACCCGAAATACCAACGAATTTCTTGAGTCCCTCTGTGCGAGAATATCTCGAATTAGGAAAGTCAATACCAGGTGAGTTTAATTTTAAAACTATTTACGGACTAGTAGAGATAAAAAAAAATGCTGTCGTAAGGCAGGTTTACATAATTGAAAAAAGGAAGCAATTGAATGGAACCTTTACAACCCCCGGAACAATGCCAATAAAAATATAAATCTTAATATGTAAGAGAGCTTAACTTAAAAATGGTGATGGCCCAGTCAATCTGGCACAATTCTTAAGCTCTCCACTCTGTGACGGCCTAAATTTACAAATCTGTACAAATGTACCAATCGTGTGATCCCTGCTTTACACTGAAACGGGCTACAAAACTATATACTCAAAAATTCGAACACTTCTGAAAAAAAAAATTGAAATTTGGATGAAAATTTGTTAATTTTTTTTATTAGTTTTCTATAAAGTGAGCTTTATGTCATACGCTCTGTTCATAATCCTGAACACATTGCAAGCAAGTGTTTTGGTTCACACTTTCTGCGCCTTCCGGATCATGGATCGGTCGAGCTCCCTGCCGTTAAATCGCTTCGAGAGAAATCGGCACCTCCTCTATCAACGCCTTTATCGCAGCCTGACTGTCGATATAGACATTCAACTGTCTATTTGCTAGGTTGCTGGTAAGTATCACCGTCGTACTCCTTATGGCCAATACTTGCGCCTTATAGGATTTGTTGAGACCGAGCTCCGCGCAAACGACTGCCGCCCCTACGCCTCTATCCATTTTCGATCCCTCAGTATAGACATGCCTTCACGCCAGCCATCGAACACTATAGTGGCTTCGAAGTTCGTCCCAAAGACCGTATGACCAGCACATAAACTGCTCCAAAGCATACAGCCTGACGGCAATTTTTGACGCTAAATTCTTTGCAGATAGGTCCGCCGGTAAGATTTGCAACAAGGGGTATGGTGCTACCATTTTTGTAGTCCTAAGTGCCCTTGCCATACCGATCAACAAATGTTTTCTTTTCTACTGCTGGCCACCAAACCAATACCCCACGGAACCGTATAGGCCTGACCATCGCCGTAAAGATCCAGTGAGAAAGAAAAAGCGATAATCCCTAGCACTGAGGTCTTCTTAGCCCTCTTTATAATGAGGCACCACGACAGCTCACTATCAAGTATTATTCCGAGGTACTTGGCGCTTCCCTCCAGCTGGAGGGTCACCCCATCTAGTTTAGGCTTCGGCCAGTTCGAAAACTCCTATTTCCTGGTGAAGATTACCAGATCTGTCTTTTCCGCATGGGTACTAAGACGCAATTTGGTTGCCCAAATATATATCTGCCGTAGTGTTTGGCTCATAAGTGAGCTGAGTATGGACAAACTTTCCACTTACTATAATAGAAATATCATCCGCAAATGCGGTGAGTTCGGCACTCTATTTACATACATACATACCTACATATGTGTGTAAGTATGTATATCATTTTCCCGCGGGCATTGCAGTTTGTAATTATAAGACTAATGGTAATGAAATTTACAGTGCCATTGTTTACGACATTTCAATATGGATCGAGGGATTTTTTTCCTTAGCTTCCAGAAAAAATTTCCAATGACAATGCATATGAAATTAGTGTGCAGTTTCGAAAAAAAAGTAAAAAAGAAAAGTGACAAAAAACTACCGAAAAAGGCATCTGGCCTTTGCCTGTCATTCACAATTCAAATAAACATTTTAATTTGTTTATTGATGCGATGCCGGCAGATATGCGCTTTTGCATAATAGCCAACGCAGAGCAAATATTGAAATGCATTAAAAAATTGAAACACATTCTGGTGTATTCGTCCACCAGTTGAAAATGAAAATTTAGGAGAAATTGCGATTTTTTTCGCCAGCTTTTTGAGCCTAATTTTTTCAACTCTCCTCTTTTTAACATTGGGCGCTTTTTGGGGTGACCAAAAATGCAATTATTTCGTGTTAAGAACAGACACACAATGACGACTGATAGGCAAAAATGGATGGAAATATCCATGCACAATGTACATATGTATGTATGTATGTATATATGTGGGATATATATATTTTTACAAATAAAAAAGATGATAAAAACCCAAACATTGCCAAAATGCAATGAGTGTTGCTTTTACCTACCAAAAAACGTGGAGCCGCATGACGCAGGGCTTTGACTTCAGCACAGCAAATACTTATGTACATATGTATGTATGTATGAATTGCACTATGCATGAATCGACCGGCAAATATGCATGCATGTACATGCCCACATCTCCACAATCGAATGCAACAGGCGCACTGATGTTGAATGAGTATTTTTGAAATCTATCCTCTCTCATCTCAGTTCACTGGACTTATTTTTTCTCTTCGAGTTGCACCCTGATGGCGTCTCAGGGAAAAAGGGGCGTAGATACAAAAAAAATACAAACAATTATAGTAGCTGTTACTAGTCAAGTGGAGAAAGTGCGTGGAAAAAAGCAAAGAACGTCGCCTGCATATTGAGCGCAACTAACTGCGGCTTGTTTGTCGCCAAATTTTGAATGGATTTCAATGATTGGAGGATGCGTTGAGTTCAATGCAAAAGAAAATTTATTAGTTTATTTGTAAACAAAGCAGATGTTGAATGAAGCAACTTCATTTTTGCGGTAGCAAATGTTTTTTGCATTGCATATTTTAAAAAACACAAAATATAGGGTGATAGTTTGGCGTCGCGGACTTTTTTGAGCAAAACAAATTTTTTCAGCTAAAAACTTCAATAATAATTTGATCGATTTTTTTTTTGAACACCTGCATTAAAGAGTCTTTGCTAACAATACTGGAGCTAGCTTTTCGGTACTATTTTGATCTGAGGCTAGAACGCCATTTATTATTATTCTCAAGCAAAAAAAAAGTAAGTAAGTATTTAGGACTTGCTAAATAAAATACTAAAATAAAAAGAAGTTGGTTATTTTGAAGCTACTAAATATTATTTATTAAGTAAATACCCAAGTAAAAAAAACAGGTATTTAGGAGTTGCTAGATACCAAAATAAAAAAAAAAGTATTTAGCAGACGCTAACACTAAAGCAATTAACACCATACCTTCCACTTCACTTACCTCAACTTACCGCAACTCACCTTAGCTCACCTCATTTTAGCGAAGCAAATCGCAAATAAATTTTGTTTCTGAAAATCTCAAAATAGTTTCGAAATGGTCCCTCGAAAATCGGATAGAAGCCCGAAAATCCCGATTTAGTTTCGAAAATCTCGTAATAGTACCAAAAGCCTGAAATTCTCCCGAGCCCCGAAAATCCCAAAATAATACCGAAATTCACGAAATACTTTTGAGAATAATAAAAGTTCTGGAATAGTCCAGACAACGCCGATATAGCCCCGAAAATCACGAAATAGTCTTGAAAATCCGGATAGTCCCTGGCATCCCGAAGAAGCCCCAAAATAATTCCGAGAATTTGGAAAAGCCTGAAATATTTTCGAAAATCATTAAATATTCGGGACTAAGAAGCAAGAAATCGTCCCGAGAATCCCAAATAGTCTTGAAAATCCGTAAATAGTTCCGAGAATACCGAAAATCTTGAAATAGTCCCAAAAATTTAAAAATTAGTTGTACGAATATGTCTAAGTTCTCCTGAAAATCACAAAATGGCCCAGATAATCCCGGAATAGTCCCAAGAATGCTGAAAATCCCGAAATAGTCGCCAAAATTGCGAAAATCTAGAAGTCCCTAATAGTATTTAATTACGCCAAGAGTACTAGTACTTTTATATCCAGCATAGGGCTGAATAACTCATTGAATTTTAGCGAGTAAACTCAAACTCATTTTAATGAGTCAGCTCACTGAGGTAGCACAATTTAGCTATGACACTCTACGCTGTTGTAGAGCTGGTTTGGACTGTAGAGCTGTTAAGAGGAAATGAGTTGGTATGCGCTATAGAGCTGGAGCACGGAATAACTTGAACAAATTGAAAATTTTCACAAGCATTAAATTTTCCCTTCTTTATTTTATTTCTTTACTCTGAGTACCGACTATGTGGCGATTGTTTATTGAGTTACTGAGTCATATTTATTTTAGAAGTGAGTCTGAGCGTGCGACAGCTCAAAAGCTCCGCTCAGTGCTGAGTTACCCATCTCCAATCGAATATTTAGTGAAGCTTGACTTAACCAATAACAAGGGTTTAACTATGAATCCGCGTTTATAGCCGCATACATAACTCTGGAAACTAATATTGCAAGAACTTCAAAAAATCCATACTCCTCTAAGCCAAAGTGAACTTCATTCCACAAAAAATAAAAAAAAAAACAAATGCAACGCTTGTCACTGAGAATTTGGCCCCAAGTGAAAATTTAAAAGCGAACAAAGTTTTAGGAAATTCCAGGAGGTTAAACAGTTATATTTTTAAATCTGTAAACTAATGAAGTAGCTCAAATGCTCCGAAAGTCCAAAATTTCCACCCTGTATGATTTAAAAAGAAAGAATGACGAACAAGTTCAACCGAGAGCAAAATTTATTTCCGTTTTTCACGAGTGCAGCATTCAGCTTGTAAATTCATTTAATGCAGCTTTTAGCGATTTGTTTTGCTTCAACTAGGCTTAGGTGGCACGTGATTTGATTTTATGACTTTTTTGAAACACAAATTTATGTTCGGTTATTTAATAAACTACGCCATTGCTGCCAGCACAAGTAGAATAAATAGAAACAATAAAAATAAGCGAATGGGCTCAAACCGGGATTTGAACCGGGCACCTCTCGCACCCAAAGCGAGAATCATACTCTTAGAACATTGAGCAGCTACTTTAAAATGCACTTGCATTTTATTTCGATCAAGTCCTTTGCTTAATAAAAACTAGGCTATTGCAGAATTCAAGTTTAATATATTCGTTTGCATTTTGTTTAGCGAGAAAACTGAAATTTACTCAGTGGGATAAATGCTTTTTTTTTATAAGGTTTACTGTCATTTTAGTTATAGGTTTATTGTACAAAATTTTAAATAAAAAAATACTTTCAAATAATTCTGATTTAGAGCAAAAATAAAATTGTGTTACTTGTTGTATAAAAACTGGAGGAATACGAGTGCATACTGGATATATATGTACATACATAAAAACCTTTATATGCAATATGACTAAACTTAAATTTAAATAAAATGTTGAAAAAAATATTAGTCTGGGCTCAACCGGGATTTGAACCCGGGACCTCTCGCACCCAAAGCGAGAATCATACCCCTAGACCATTGAGCCGCTTGTTTCAGACCATCTTAAAATTTCATTGGTTTTCAATTGTTTGATTTTCTTTGGTATGTCGCTTCGGCAGCTTTTTTTATGTCTCTTTATCTACTGCTGTATTAATTAAAAGTTTAAGAGTATCTAGTGTTTACAAACTTGTTTTCATTCGAATATCTTTCACATTGGCAAATACTATGTATGACGCACATAAATACCAATTGTATTTGACTCATTTTAGACCGTAAAATCGTTTAAAATTTATAAGATATTTTGCCTAATCAAATAGGAGGTCTGAATAAACAAAAGGTTTTTCCGGCTTTCGCTTAGGAATGGTTACACCTTAAGGTTTCGATATTTCTTTCACAAAAAAACTTTCATAAAGCCATTGTCGTTAATTCGTTTATAACAAGTCGAATTCATTCATTCAGGCCAATTTATATATCCATCGATTCTTATAGACACCTTTTAAACGAAAGATAAGATCTTGCTGAGTTATTCACCAGCTTCTCATGAAATTTGTATTACGAAATTGGTTCAAAATTTATGAAATATACGATTTCTTTGATATATCGAGCCTTAACCGCCAAAAAAAAACGTAAGCGGAGATTTTTTCCAAAATTTTCTTTGTTGCAGAAATGCATTTAGATGCTCCAGGATTATTTCTGCATCAAAAAAATAAATTGAAAAAAAAAAAAATGTCGCTTACGTTTTTACATATCTTTATTCAATATCCTTACTCAACACTAACAGGACCATAGGCTTTTGCGTAGCAATTCTATTCTCTAGAAAGCTCTAAATAGCAGGGACCGTAACCGTTATGGTTTAAATAATAATAATAAAAAATCATAACTTTATTTAATTTTGTGATTTTTATTTCTTCGAAAATTTTTGATCGTTATTTTGTGATTTTTTTCCATCATCTTTAATCGTTATTTTGGATTTTTATTTTTTCCATAATTTTTAACGTTTTATACCGATTGAAATCTTTTATGATCAAAAATGAAATCTAACAATTAGTTTTTAGCAAAAAAAAAAATCCGACTTAAAAAAAATATATATATCTATATATTTCATGATTCAATGATCGGATCTAAACCAAATTAGTATGGGACAACCTCTGAGACACTACCTTTCCGTTGCAAAATTATTGAAATTGGTTGACGTGGTCCAAAGTTATGCGGTAACATATATATAAAAAAAAATAAAATAATATTCCGACGAACTGATAACCTCCTCCTTTTTTGGAAGTCGGTTAAAAATAACGGTTATAGTGTGATAGAAGAAATAAAAATTATAAAATTACGATTAAAAATTGTAATTTTTTGTGTCGATTTTAATATGCCTTATATTTTTTTCGTAGAAATGTTAGTTTTAAGAAATGGTTTTCTCATAAATTTTTAACAATACATATGTATATGTGGCAACACCACAAAAGCCGATACGTACGACCAAAATGCAACCTTGCTCTAACTTACATTCTTCTTTACACTGTCATTCCTGTCACGTTAGTAGAACAGAAAAATAAAGTTTTACACTCTCTTCTATTCTTGCGCTCCACCTAACCACACGTGTTTTTCTTAGTATCGTAATCTCCACACTGGTGACCCCGAAGCAAGAGCACCACTCGCTAAGTATCAACTTTCAGAATATTTTAAAATAGCAAATTTCTGCGATGAGCTTGGACGATAGCAGAATGGTTACAGATGGAGAAGGTAGCAGGGAGCATCCTCCACCACAGAATTTTGCACCGCGAATTCCAATGCCCGCGATGTCAGGCGATAATATCGACGCTTACTTTTATTCCCTCGATTTCTGGTTCGAGGCGACGGGCATTACCGCCGACACGGCTAAATTCAATATCGTCTTGGCTAGCGTTCCGCCGGCCAAACTAATGGAGCTGCGCGCCATCATCGACGCTGCGCCAGCTACGCAAAAATATCAGTACATTCGCACTAAACTATCAGAAAATTTCGCCGAAAGCCAACAACGTCGCCTACAGCGCGTGCTCCGCGATATGCCCTTGGGTGACCGTCGCCCAAGCGACCTCTTCAACGAGATGAAGCGCGCCGCCGGGACTACCTTGAGCGATAGTATT